ACTCTCTCAATTCACTGTGCTTATATAAAAGTTTCTAAGAGTGGTTTCTTTTTCTTTTTTATATATCCCTTGTTTTATGAATAAGTAAATGTTACAGATATCTCTAGCACTGATTCAATACTTAAATGTGCTTTCAACAGTTTCTACAGAGCAATAGCTCTGGTAAGTGGACTTGCATAGTTTGTGCAAATGCTTGTACAGAGAAAATTACATCTTAATAATTTCTTTTCATATAATGCAATTTCCTGAATACAGTTTTATCTGGTATGCTTTTGCTGAGTATTGTGCCACCACTCCTGGCAGCAAAACTGGCATAATTCAGGCAGGTCTGACAGGATCAGGACTTGGAAATGCAAGTCAGCAGGGTACAGAGCAGTCATGGCTGGTGATGAAGCAGTGACACAGGTATCCTTCTTAGCTGCTCTACCGCAGCTTGTCAGCAAATGACAGAAGGATATCATTCTTTGTCTCTTGCATTTATAATCTCAAAATTAAATCCTTGAATAATAAATAGAATTATATCTTCTGGTGGCTGCTTTGCCTGTTAGCATGGTGTCACATACATTTTCAGGACCTCTTCCCACTAGTATACTATAGTCTGGCCCATTATTTTGAGCACACTTTAATCAGATTTGACATTAAAAAAAAATTATATATATATATGTGTATATATATATTCCCTTGTGCGTTTAGAGTTTAGCAATTTGATTTCGATAATAAGATCTTGTCCATATATCCAAATAATTCAGGAGAGTTCCTCCTGGTTAGCTATGACAATATAGGATAATGGATTTGCAGGATTTTGTAACCAAATCTGAAAACATTTGAATGTCGTGAGTCAGAAAGAACTTTGACCTGAAATTTAATTAAGGAGTGGAAAATAGGAAAAGTGGGAGGATGCAGGAGAGGATTAAACAAAAAATAAAATCCCTGGTCATTCAGGACTTTGCTCCTGTTAAATGGTCTAAAAAGCTCTTGTCATGGAATAGCTGGACCTTATAAATGGGTTAAATTTGAAAATTGGGAAGAGCGGAAAATTAAAACTTAGTAATGTGATTTCTTTCTTCATTTTTAATAAAAATGAGCAAGCTGCAGGGAAGAGTGAAAGGCAAGCTGAAGTCAAAGCAAGCACATTTGTAGCCATCCATGTCCTAATGAGTAGCATTAGGAAACCACATGTAAGTGTTTAGTCTTAACTGTAGCATATTGAATACATTTGGTCTTGTCTGGGCAAAGCAAGCCCAAATCTATCAAGTATTTGGGTGAAAAAACAGTTGGAAATTCTGGTTACTACAAATGGAAACCAAAGAGCCATGCTCAAATGTGTGATGGAATAGCATTAAGGAATTTCACCTCATCTGGAAGCAGATGAGGTAAAAGTTTCAGTTCTATTATCAGTGCTAATCAAACAGGTGGAAAGAGGAGAAATAAATTTGCAAATGACATCAGGTGTTCTTAAAATAATTCTTTGCTGAATGTATAGTAGTTCATAATTACTGTAATGTTGAAAACCAACTTCCATTACAAAAAAGATTTAAGAAAATTATTTGCATTCTTGTACTACAGAATATTAAACTTAGATTGAATATTTGTAAGGCTTTGACATGACTGGTCTGAGAACAGGCTTTAGACACATGCTAGACATGCCAAATTAAAATCCACGTGGCCATACATCTTACATAGTTTGTTTAGATAATGTATTCACCTAAGTTAGTCAAGAGCTTTTAGCAGAGACCAGACCACAGATCCAAATGATCTGTGTCCAAGTAAAATACTTCAGTAAAATAGATAGTTCAAAATTAAATACAGCCCTCTTCAGTAGCGGAGGCAGTCGGGCATGTGCGTGTCTACAGTATGCATAGGAGATATGCAAATACTTCCCAGGACTGACAATCTCCCAGCCAGAGCAAAAGGTGATGCTTCATTAAGTGTAATTATGTGTTTAGTCCCTGGATCTCTCGTAGATGGAGACAACCTGGTACAATCCAGCATTGGATTCAGGCAGATGGAAGGACCCGATGAGGTACACGTACTGATGCCATGCAGTGCTACAAATAAAACTATCACTGGAAGTAAAGCTCTTAGAAAGTTAATGCAGGAAAAAAAATGTAATTAAGGGAAGTCTAGAATAAGGAGTGTTACCAAATTGGGTTTCATCAACAGCTAAACCAAATTTAACTAAGATCTCTAGGCTTATCACCTGATGCAAGATGAACACATCTATCTTTGACTAGTTGAAGGTTTGCTGTAACACCTATTTAGGGAAGTAATTTACAAGTGTATTTTTTATCTGTACGGACAGAGATGTTCATAATTTCCTTAAAGATGTTTGCTTGATATTTGTAAATATTTAATTTGACATCAGGGTATTAGAGTAGCAGTGACTAAATCTTGGCATACTTCATTGGAGAAAGAAACTCTTGGTCTTGTGTTTTCTGAAAACTGAATGTTGTATCCCTCCATCACTTAGTTGTAGATGTAAAGTGGGAGTGTGAATGTGTGTGTGCTGTAAAAGCCTGTGAGCAAACCAGATTTTTCAGAGTAGAAACATACTAAGAAACATAATAATCCTTCTGCAGCTCCAAAGACACAGACTGCACCTTACTGTCCCTGCCAGAGTGCACACTGTGCTCCTTCTTCTTGCATGTTTTTGCAGAAAAGATCTCTGAAATTTTCATTCTGTGATTCCTTAGTCCATCCCTCCACTTTTGTAACCCGTTAGATGACCCTTTTGTCACCTAAACTGTTCTGAGCAATATCTTTGTGGTTTTATACTCTTTGAGAGCTAAGGATGTGTGAGACAGAGGTGAGACGTGTCTCTCATGGATGGTGTACATTCAAAGATACTGGAAGTTAATGGAATTACTGTGGGGTTACACCAGTGAAAATCAGGTCATCCTCTGTACTTTTAAAATAAATGTGAGAATAGTCTGAAAGTATTAATTTTTCACATGACACTAAAAAATAATAGCTGGATCTTTACCTGCCATAGATGTGGGGGAAAAAAAGACAATAAGGCCTTTGAAAAATCAAAATCAAATAGGATTGCAAAGATCCAGAGAACAAAGGATCTATAAGCCACATATATGTAAATGATAAATCTCTATACATCTGCTGACCAATGTAAATACTATGAATTTTGGTTTGTGTACGTTAAGTTTGTGTACATTAAGTACAACATGAACCCTTAAGTAAAATCTATAGATGCAAATTTTTAGAGATGAAGTGACATGGCAGAGTCATGCTGTAGCACTCTTGTTTGCTCCAGACTCAAGATTTACAAGAGAAGTAACGATCATTAATGTTCTCAACTACCTCGAAGACAAAGTATACCAGGTATTGGGCATTTTGCATTAGGCAGCCTATTGATGCTATGTTGCAGTTCCCAAACGTTGCACAGTAAACGAGGAAAATGGTATGAGAAGAGTAATGATGAGGACCACTGATTCACGTGGACTAAAAACTTAGGAGAAACAGAAAATGGAGGAGGAATAAAGCTGGCCTGTAGGACATTGCTCTTGATTATACTTGACCTGGTTTAGTTGAAGTAATTCTGCTTGCCTCTAGCAGCAAGCATTTCGTAATGTATTTTACCATTAGATGTTGCATCGTTTACTAGTTATTGAATGGTGTGTATAGGCTGGCCTCCATGCAGTTCTCATTTAGAGCATCCTTTTGATTGTAAGTAACTGCCTCAGCACTTTGTTTTAATGGATTTTTGAGATTACGTATGTAATTCTGCAGAGCAAAAAGAGACCATGTTTGAGATTCACCAGCTGTGATACTGACCCTGGAAGCTGCTCTGAAATATGTTTTAGATATTTATGATGTTCTGTCAAAGAACATCTGATGTTGTTTATTGCCACAGAGACATGGGGCTCTGCTGATATAAAGCAGTCCTGATCCTGCTTAGGTCCATTTGGCAAGATGCTTAAGACAAATAACTTGATCTTCTTAATAGATAAAAGGAAAAAGTTTTCTTAAGAACTGTTATTAAAGAATAAAATTAGAAGAGGTGGTTGCTCATTTATAGCTCTCCTTTCTCAGCTTAATTTTGAGTACAAGATGCAGAGTCTTACTCGCTGGTACTGTCCACTGTCACTGCCACTCAGCTCTCCTGAAAACAATTTTGGAGTTTGGCCTCAGTGAGATGCTTTGAAACAAGTTATTTTTAAAAAATATTTATAAATTTCCTCTAAAAAACATCCCTCTTATTTTGCTGTCTTGTGTTACAAACTCATACATGTTAATTTGGTAGTGGCATATCTGTGACTATTTGTTACTCAAGATATCCTTTGTCAGTTCCCCCAAAATCTCACAGCAAAAACGAGCCGTGAGAGCTGGGGCACCAGTGATGGCTGCCTGGCCCCACTGATGATCCTCAAGCCTGACCTGATAGGACCTGCTAAAAGGGTGAGATCAGGTCCCTGGAGGATTGCCAGCAAGTCACCAATTAATACTTATTGAATGGGAAATTATTATAATGCTGCGATGGTTCATCAGGGACCTGGAGTGTGTTCATAGGTGTGCTGCACCCTAGGGCTGTGTGTCCCTTGGTGCTTACTTCTAAAAGAAAACGCATTGTTGCTTGCTACTCTGTTCAGTTGCAGCATTTTAAGATCTGAACTATAATTAATGTGGAGGAATGTGAAACGCTACCATCTACCATGGAGCTTGGCTTGAGAGTATTTTAGTTAAACTATAAAATTCCAATTAGTTTCAGTAGGGAACATCACTAACTCCTCTGGAGCCAGGCCACATTGCTTCTTGTTTTCTGATAGGAGAAAAAACAAACCTAAAGTTACGTGAAATGTGCAACATGCACGTGATAGTCCTTTCAAAACAGGAGAAATACAGGCGTCTGATTTTCAAAAGGGCTTTCTGCTTTTCCAAGGGGAGCTTTGCAGAAAACTGGGATTTAGGGTGCCGCTGTCTTCCCCTCTTCCTAGTGACAGCTGTAAACATCTGCTGAGGATGTCATTCGTTGTCTTATCCTACAGTTGCTTGTTAAGATTGTGAAGCATCACGGCTACAGGAAAATTAAAGCGGGAATGCTGCGGGTTGGGAGCGAACAGCCGGCGTGCTCAGAGGCTCTCCGGAGTGCGGTTTCGGAGCGGAGCGTCCACGGATAACGCCACAGCAGGGAGGGGAGCCATCCCAGCCGGTTTGGGCAGGTGGGGTGTGTAAGGCACGCCGCCGTGTCATCGTCCTGCACGTTCGCCTCTCCGTCCTGCTCTCGAAAAGGCAGACAAGGCTTCAAGTCAGAAATTGCATTTCGTGTAACTCCTCCCCTATTTCAGCTGCTTGCTCACACAGCCACCCACAGATCTGAGACAAAAATGTGCGAAGCGAGGCAGGGAACACTCTCACCAGTGCGGATTTCATCTCCCTTCTAGGCGCCGGGGTGCCCGTCCTGCGCCGACACCGTCTTACTCCTCCCAGAACATAATGAAGCTTTGGCTAATCGCAAATGCATAAGCATTTTTTTCCCATCCGTTCTCATCAGCCTCTACTCCAAGAAGAAGAAGAAGAAGAAGAAAAAAAAAAAAAAGTCTGGGGCTGTACATGAGCGTGTCTTTGTGCCCCTGCTCGTTCGGCGGGCTGACAGAGGCGGCATTGTTCGCAGGCTGTGGCCGGCTTGGCAGCCAGAGGAGGTGGGGGATCTGCGCCGCGCATACGGAATCGGCGGGTGGCCGGGGACAGGGGTCGAGAAACTCCTAGAGCTGCCTTAACGACAAGAGGGAGTTTCAGAGCAGCACCAATAGCTTCTGCTGGTGCCTTCTGCACAATGCAAACGGGGTCCGGGGCAAGGAGACCTTGTTAATCGAAGGTAACGTTTTTATATTTATAGTAGCACAGTAGTGATTGCTGCTCTTCGCTTGTTAATTAAAATATGGGTGATGCGACAGAGGAAAAGTTGTGAAGTCCACCGTGCTCCTTAGAAGAGAATAAAGCTTCATGATGGCATCGTGCTGCAGCTGAGGGTTACTGGAGTTTGTGTGTTCCCCTTTATGTGGGCTTAGTTCGCGTTACCAGTAATGAGAAAATCTGTATGTGTTCCCATCAGAGGAAGAAAAGAACATTTAAGTCTGCTTCTCCAGCTTTCTTACTCTTTAAGCCAGGAGCTACTGTGTATATGCAATATTAAATGGATTTTGCTAATAGAAACACATTAACATATAGACATTAGGCAAGGTAAATACTTCTTCCTATTACTAGAGACAGTTCCTCACCTCTTCAGGTACTCCCTGGGGTAGAAAACATTCTGTTCAGTGGTAAAAAATTAGCATTTGTTCCACAAACCTCAGCAGAAAGAAAAAGCATCATTGCATTTATTTTTTTAGCTTCTTTGTAATAACTAAGATTACACACACTGTGCAAAACAGATTTTCTATTGTTGTGCAGATATTTCTCCCGTGTTCTTACTACTTCAATGATATTTTTAGTAGTTTTTAAATTACTAATATTTTTCTAGTTTTAAAGTAAAGATACATTTTGTCTGAGCACATCTCCAGGTCTCTTTGATGTCCTTGCTGTCTGTCCCTTGTAATTGTTAACTCTATTTTTGGGAGTTAGTGCTGCTATTTGGATGTAGTAATGAATATGGTCTTGAAAGTGCGTGCCTTGTAGCTGCGGCCATTCATTTGGTGTGTCCAGGTTGACATTCTTTTGGGGACCCCCCAACACAACTCCAGATCTGGAGCTCTTAAAGTCACAAGTGGCTTTTGAAGGATATTGGGGGATTTTTTGTTGATTTTTTCTAAGGAGAGCAGTTAAAAAAAAGGAGAGTATCATTTGTATGCTGGAGGTCGTTGCTGTTTTCTGCCAGCCCAGCACCTTTCGTTGCGTGTAATTTGGGAGAACGGAGCTTGTACCTCCTGTTTGCCCGATGGCACGTAGCAGCCCCAGAGGACACATGCTGCTTTTGTGCTCCTGTTCGGTTTTAATCTTTAGGGAGCAACTGTTTCCAAGAGTAAACACACTGCCTTGGAGCAGAAACTCGGGGAAACATCCTGCTAGTGACAGCGGCAGCCGCTGCCCATCGCACTGGACGACCCTCTGCCAAAACCGGCAGGGCTTTGCTAGCCGGCCAGCCAAAGCCTGGGAGCTGCAAGCTGTGTAACCGCGAGGATGGCTGAAGGAAAGAACGTTTAAAAGTGTTGAATTAAAAACGTGAGGATGCTAACTGCTTGCTCAGAACGCAGTATCTGGGTTTATCCTGGCCCTTGGCCCGGAGATTTGCAGCATCCCCTTTGGGCAGGAGTGTCCACCCCACTAGTCTGAGCGCAGCCCCCCAGGGCTGCTCGGCGGTGGGGCCGTGTTGGGCACTGGGCGGGCAGGTATTGACCCTGTTCGCTCCCTCCACGCAGGCTTTCCCCATGCCCCCCTCCTCGCTGAGAGAGGGAAACTGCGGGCTCCAGTGCGGGGGGAGCCAGGTCCCCCCCCCAGCCCCCTCGGCCGGGCAGCAGGGCTGGAGGGGTGATGCTGGACCCCACATATTGCCATTTGGACATCAGCATTTTAACAGTGCCCTTCTTATCAGGGAGACGTGTTCCAGACAACACCTCCAATAGTAAAGAGGGACATTCTAAAGTAATAATAAGCCTATTTAGACCTGCCTAATTTATTTTTTTTTTATCTATGAAATGAAAGATATTTATGGTCATTACCTCCATGAGAGAAAGAGGTGAGACCTTAGATTAGATTCTGTGTCTTTCAATTAATTTCTTGTGCTTGTCAGGGACCAGCAAGTGCAGAAATCTCAAATCAGAGCTTGTCCTCACAAGCAAAAAGAATGGAACTAGAATGATTAAAGGGGTTGCAATTCACAACTATTTTTCAGTGGATGCTTTACTAAAGGCACTCATATCAGGAAATAAGAATATGTGTGGACAAATGTGGTTTTAGGTTAAATCAGAATTGGTCATTTATTGTTGTGAATACACTGTCTTATACTGGTGTAGAGCCTGTTAGTTCACTTTTACTGCTGCATTTTAACTGGTAAACACAAAGTTTCATTTGCGGTTAGTTTCAAAAAGTTCATTTGCTAAATGCTGCGTGCTTCATTAATACAGTGACTTTTATAACCCATTTCCTCCAGAGTATACAACACTAAGCAGCCAGGGTCAATTTAAAATAGATAGCTTTTGCTTACCCAGTCAACTGTCATCTATTGTATATGTTTCTGTAAACAAAAAGATGCAGCAGAGTTTTTGATGGATGTAAGCACAGGCAGGGCCTTTGGAGTAACTTCTTAACCAGCATTTCATCGTTTTTTTCAGCACAGAAGCTTCTGCTTCCTCACTGGGAGAGCCTGTATGAAGACTTGTGTGGACGGTGCTGTATGGTAAGGAATACACTCACTGAGAGCCAGGGGTTTTTAATTTCTCCTTCCTAATTTTGCATTGCTATGGAATTCCCATGTGAGTAGTTGCTTCACTTTGCATCTGATTTCTTCTCAGAAGGAATTATATGGTGGTCCTTTGTTGTTCGGTAGTAACAAATACATGAGCAAAATTAACTGTTTACTGTGTAGACGATAATATGTCTTAAATGATGTAGAATTTCACCATCATGTGAAGTTTTATATGCATACTCTTTTTCTCCCACGAGCCTCAAACAGTCCCTTTGGGGAACTGGCCACACTGCGTATTCAGTGAACCTCCTGGGGCAGCAGGTCCCTGTGCAGCATCACTTGCAGTATTTTATTCAACTTTGAAGTGTTAAATTAAAACAGGAGAGTCCGGTGTGTTTTCTGATTCCCAGAAACACCATCACTTTGTGGCCTTCCCCTGCCAGCTTCGGTGTCACCTTTCTTTCTCAAGTTCTCTCTTTTCCTGCTGGGTAGCAGCCCCCGTCATCTCTGCACCCCTTCAGACACAGTGCACTTGAGCCTTTTATCAGCAAACAGCATCATTCTTACCTCCTATCCCAGGACCGACATCTGTTGTGTTTTACTCTACCTCACACACCGAGTGAAAAAATAAATGGTCAATAAATGAGGAATCTCTTTGAAATATGATGACTGTAAATTGTGTAGCTCTTCCGATTTGGGGTCCTGAAAGACAGGCTTTCATGCAGCGCTAGGCAGATTACACAGCCTGCATGGATATTACAAAGTCCAGCAGTGTTAGTATAGTATAGCTGTGCTGCTTATTTCCTTAATCTGCTTGTTTAGACACCCGGAATATTCATCTTAATCATCTATTTCTGCTGCATAGTAGGTACAGGAGGAAATACCACAGAGAGCTCTGTTACTGGGAAAACACGTCATTTGAATGTGCAATGTAAATATTTTAACTAACCAAATGTAAACACTGTTTTGCCTGTAGGATGGGAAAAGACTGTCACAGTCAAAAACAAGCTGACATAGAAGTGACCCTGTATAGATGAGATACAAAATTGTTTTCACACGTTTTGGTAATCAAAACAGAGCCCTTAATGAATTGCCTAGTGTGAAATGTATTACAAACACAAATGTTCCTGACACAAGACAATCAGAAGTCGCTGCCGTATTAACATCAGAAGGACTTTCAGGATTCATGGGGATCTAAGGTCCATGGGAGGTATGATGCGAGATGAGAGAGATGAGATGGTGAGAGATGTGAGACGGTGAGAGCTAGAGAGAGGCTGAAGACCCTGGAGGAGAGTCTAAACCATAAGTACACTCTGAGTGTCCATGTTCCTCCATGCCTCTGGCCTTGACTTGTGTTCACCATGCCAGGACAGTTGATTCATAAGTTTCCAAGGGTTAGAAGATGGTAAAAGCAACAGAGATACTAGATACAGCAAGAAACACCTTACTTCATTCACAGATGTGCTGTGAGTTTTTCAGTTGGTGGATTCAAAGGAAAGCAGAGTTCTTAGGGGGCTCATAGCTGTTGCTCATTACCTCTGCCTACACTGGCTTCATAAGTGCTTGAAGACCTATGGTCAAGTGGTACTTGATAGAAACCAGACATTGGTCTTAACTTTGGGTGTTGAGTATGGTCCTGAAAAATAGTGCTATAGCACAGGATACAGAATCCTCCAGATACCACTTGACTTTATCGTGCAGTAGATGCTAAGAAGTAGAGTCCCTAAATGGTCTTTGGATGTTCACCAGATTGCTAAGCAGAAGAAACATCTGGAGATTATTTCATTGGCTATATGTTCTAGCCCATGGATTGTTAATACCAGCAGAGGAATAAACAATACAGAGGATTTGACTAGACACCATGGATTGTGAGAAACTGGTTAGATTTTATTTCTGTAGGCACAGGTCTATGTACATGCCCAAGCAAGTAAGCTTTCATTACTGGAATAGCTGGGGGATTTTTTAAAGTTGATTTTTGCTTGTATTATCAACAATGGGTAGTATATTAACATCTGCCTCACATTTGCTATTTCTTTGTTCTAACAGCTGGAAATTTACATTTACACATAGGCCTCAGAGCTAAAAATGTCATTCCCTAGGTTAAAAACCCATAGTGATTTTTGTCATTCTTGTTAGTAAAGGAGAACTGGAAACACAAGCAAAATAATAAGCAGGAAGAGTAGCCCCCAGATGATAAATGTTTTCAATTGGAGCACAGATTAATCATGTATACTGTAGCCTGTGAGTGTCATTGTCTGCCATTACTACAGCAATTTAGCTGCAGCCAAATGAGTAAATCTATTAAGAGTAAAAATTATCCAAAGAAAGTAGAAGAAACCAAATACTTAAGTCATCAGTGAAGAGAAAAATACAATAGCATTTTTTTCAGTATAGAGGAAATTAAGAGCCTTTTTTGTGTGGATAAGAAGTGTTTTGCATAGATGAGAATAACTTTGAAATTATCCTTGAATAAAACTTCTGTTGCTAGAAAATCAATAATTTTATGAAATAACTTCATGTAACTATTCTCTTGAATATAGATAATCCAAATCTTCTTTACCTCCTAGACAGATTTATCAGTTTTCATGGGAAATAATTAATACATTCAAAAGTAAGAACTTCGTCTTTTCCCTTTAGAAGAAAGAAGCTCATATACTTTTGCTAAAGTGCTGTATTGTGCTTTTTTTTTTTTTTTTTCCACCCCCAGAAACCAGGATCTAAAATGCCTTGGTTTAGCACAGGAAAAAAGGTAGGAACAGATTACTTTGTAGTGCTGAATTCACAGTATCGTTTTTCCAAAGGAAAATAGCACTATTTGAAGAAGGGTTTTAAATGGCTGATGAGAGATAGGAAATTTAAGAGGAGGGAAGAGAAGTGCAGTTGAAAAATGTTTGGAGTGACAGTGTAAACTTCAGGGAGGAAGGGAATTAGATAAAAGAATCTGTAAGAGTGGGAATAATAATGTGAAGGGGAACAGACTGTGCTAGTGCAATCTTTTGGCCTAGGTTTTCAAAAGAATTCAGAATATGATCTGCAATCTCTGTCTTTCTTTGGGAGGGGGAATGGGAGTTTTTCCATTTACAGTAAAGTGGAGTAATAATGTCATTGCCCCAGCTGTTAAAATACTTTAAAATCTACTTCAAACTGGTTGTTTATTTCAGTGTTAAAGTATAGACCATTGTGGCCAGAAGTAAGAAAGAAACTGGAATCAATCCCAAAAAGTGGAGTGAAAGCATAATTTATGCCTCCCTGAGAGGGGATGGGATCACTGGTCCAGCCTGTCTCATTCTCACTCAGTTCACTAAGAGACTAGTTTTTAGGAAGCCTCTTTGGATATAGCTGTAAATGAACAAATCTCAAGGTTCAAATCTGCAAGGAGAACTTGGAAGCCTTCATCAAAGCCGGGGTTAAATAGGAAGCATATTTTGAGTCCGAAAGTGCTACCCAAGGGTGGCTTTGCAAAGCACGTGAGGACGGTGGCATCCCAAGCATCTCTGGCACACACTTGAGAACTGACTTCTGTAAGGCAGTGTTTCTGCAGAAAGTGGATGGGCTACATGGGAGCTCCCCTGCCTACAGCTGCTTCAGAAGCCACTTTTTCATTGTGGTACAGAGTAATCTGTGATTTTTGCCTACTTAGTCATTTCTACGTAACAGTGTCTTTGAATTCATATCTATGTATCACCTATTCCAGATGAACAGCAATAACTTTCAGCATCAGGTAAATCTGCCTGTGAGGTTAATTTATACTTGCGCTGTCATAGACTGTCAGTAGCTTTAGACAATCTGCTATCATCAGACTCACTTGGTTTCTTAGTTCTGCTCTTGTGGCACAGCCAATTGCATTTCAGGGTACGTCAACTAAGGAGAGTGTGCTCTAGTAATATTTTACATTTACACAGCACCTCTCATCCCAGAGTACTTTATAAATCATGTGTATTCAACACCACTGACCTTTTGCCGTCCCTTGAGAGCAGGAGAGCATCCGTTTTACAAAAGCAATACAAACCATAGGAATTTTTTTCTATAATACTGGGGGGAACCCATTTATTACAGAATGAATTGTATGTTCCCTAAGCTACAGCTTCAGTTTTTAAAGACCTTTATTGAAAATTTCCTCAGGATAAGGTGCATGATCCTACATTTGTGTATACCATAAACAAAGAGCTAATCCATCTTTCCAAGACTGGACCCCTGGAAACATTTCACTCTTCCCTCTAAATGAACATAAAAGTATCACTACCTCTATACCTTGGCTGTCATTTTATCTGTAAATTGTTACCTCTTCCTGCAGAATCTGCCCAAAATCCTATAGTCTGCATACCTCTTCAGTTGCTGAGGATCTTCCCATCTCAGTGTGAGAGGTATAGCATACCAGATACATCAGAAAACCTATTTAATTGCTTTTGAGGGATTAAAAGTTAACTGATCTGCCAGTGTATCAAGCTGAAGAAATTCAGTGTGGCTATGCAATGGGCCAGTATATGCAGAGGAGAGATGTGCAAGGCCAAAAGAACAAAGAGGAAGACAATGGCAACGAATTAATCTTCCTGGCATTCACTGCCCCTTCCTGTAAACATTAAGAGGATGATCCGAAGCCTGCTGAGATCATTTAGTGTCCGTCCCTGAAGCACTGGGGCAGTGGGGAGTGGCAGTGGCTGGGGAGGGAGCGTGCGAGGTCCTTTGTGTGCCAGGGCATCCTTCTCGTGATGTGCAAAGGCTCAGCTTACGTGTGGGACTACCTCAGTGGGGACAGATTCCCTCTGTTTACTTTAGGAACAAACTCCAGGGGAGCTGCTTTCATTGGTTTTAAAGAAGAAGATAGGTATGCAGCCTGTTCTAGTACACTATTTGCCAAACCAGCTGTTCTGGGGGGGGCTAATTTGGGGCTTATTTAATATGTTGTTTTAAAGAGGACAGCAACATTTCTATTTCAGTTGTTCAATTCAGCAAATGGATTACAACACTGCATTTAACTGTGAATGTCATGG